GAATTCCGTCTAACAAATTTCACTCATAAGTGTTCCGTACACCCAATATCACCCTGAAGATTTCCGTCTACCAACTTTCACTAATAAGGGTTCAGTCTACCCAATTTCACCCAAAAGAGTTCCGTCTGACAAATTTCACTCATAAGGTTGCCGTATACCCAATTTCACCCACAAGTGTTCCGTCTAACAAATTTCATTCATACGGGTACCGTATACCCAATTTCATCCACAAGAATTCCGTCTACCAAATTTCACTCAAAAGGGTTCCGTACACCCAGTTTCACCGACAAGTGTTCTGTCTACCAAATTTCATTCATAAGTTTTTCGTATACCCAATCTGACAATTTTCACTCATAAGGTATCCGTCTACCGTATTTCACCTACGAAAAGAAAAAGCAGAAGTGTAAAAGAAAAAGTGGGAAAGTAAAGAGATAAGAAATAAGTGATGGTCGTAGGGTTTTGAAGCAAGGAAGGAGAAGGGTGGTATGGCTTTAGCAATTTATATAAACACAGATCTTAACGTTTGATAGTAATTTATATGTCTAAAATAAAAACTCCACAAATAAATTAGATTAAATTCTTGCTAGCAATTTAAATATTTAACTTCTCCACAGAAAATTAGGGATTTAATCTAAACTGAATATTCTATTAATAATCATATATTAAAATTAAAATTTACAAGCGTACCTCCACTTTTTCGCGGGAAAACAGCATAGCGTAATGAAAAGGCCAAAAACTTAACGAAAAAAATTTTTATCGTCAAAATGTTTATGGTATTATTAAGATGAAAGACCAAAGTATTTTTCTATTATTTTTTGAAATTTTTCAATCCCTTCTAACACGTTCGAAATTTTGGTTAAATTTTCTTTTGATTACGTCATTGTGGTGACATGAAAATGAGAGGTTTTTTTGCGCTTTTTTCCGTTGAAAACACATTGATTTTGAAATTCTTGTAAAAATTAAGTAATTGTCCGATTTTAATGAAATTTTCAGAACTTATTTACAAAGGAATTAAAGCTAAGTTTAATTTTCCTCTAGACTCTTTTTATTCATTTTATCTCTTCTACATATATACTCTATATGAGAATACTTACATACACACACAACACACACACATCAATCACACACACACAAATGCAATAGGTACTTTTCAGCATAAATTTTCGATACCTAAGTTTAAAATGAATTTTTTAAAATGAAAAAAACATTCTTGAAGATTTCATTTTAGCTTTAATTGAAAGTTTAATAATTAAATCTATTATTTCCCTAAGTAAAGAATTCTGGTGTATTTCAGATAGAAACTATATACATTGGAATGTCAAATTTAATTTTGATTTCTTAAATTTTCTTAAAATCGACCATTTTCTTAATTTTAAGAAATTTGTGAACAAACAAAAATTTATCGATTTTAAAAATATTTAAAAAAATTTCTGACACGTTATTTTAGTAAAATTAGAAAATTTAAAGTTAAATTAATCTGATTTAAAAGAAATATTACTTACTTCTAGCATAAAAATGTAATATACAACCAATTTATTAACGATTGGTACTGTTCATTTGATCAAAAATTTGATTAGTGTTGATTGACGAACGATGACAGCTACTACGGATGACCATAAATGAAAATTATTAGAAATCTGAGTGAATGCTTTTTTTTTTTTAGTTTTACTGTTATATTTATTTATTAGAATAAAGGAACAGAACTCTTAGATCACATGACCTTTTCATAATAATGGCAATTTCAGTCTACCATACATGGAAATAAGGTACGTATTAAGTAAAAAATACAAAATAAATTATTTTAAAAATAAAATAGCACAACTACGTTCATCAATCTTTGCAATTTTGGATTCGTAAATTTCGTTTCCACTTAATTACTATATCACATCGAGGAAATAGCCCAATATTGAATTTTACACGATTTTAAACTATTATAAATTATTATAATTAAAATAAAAAAAAATTCTTGTAAAAATTCATTATTCATCAGAAAAATTTCATTTCTTCAGACAAATGAACAGTACCAATCGTTAATAAATTGGTTGTATATTACATTTTTATGCTATAGGTAAGTAATATTTCTTTTAAATCAGATTAATTTAACTTTAAATTTTCTAATTTTACTAAAATAACGTGTCAGAAATTTTTTTAAATATTTTTAAAATCGATAAATTTTTGTTTGTTTACAAATTTCTTAAAATTAAGAAAATGGTCGTTTTTAAGAAAATTTAAGAATTCAAAATTAAATTTGACATTCCAATGTATATAGTTTCTATCTGAAATACACCAGAATTCTTTACTTAGGGAAATAATAGATTTAATTATTAAACTTTCAATTAAAGCTAAAATGAAATCTTCAAGAATGTTTTTTTCATTTTAAAAAATTCATTTTAAACTTAGGTATCGAAAATTTATGCTGAAAAGTACCTATTGCATTTGTGTGTGTGTGATTGATGTGTGTGTGTTGTGTGTGTATGTAAGTATTCTCATATAGAGTATATATGTAGAAGAGATAAAATGAATAAAGAGTCTAGAGGAAAATTAAACTTAGCCGACGTTTCGACGTTTTGATTTGATAAAACCCTTTAGAAGACAAAATGCGTCGGCTAAGTATATTTTCCCTCGTGTCACTATACACACACACACACACACACACACACACACACATATATATATATAAAAAATATATATATATATATATATATATATATATATATATATATTATTATTATTATTATACTTTTTAAATATCAATTTTACCCCGACTTCGAAGTTTCCTGGTAAAATTTCCGTTCTTCAGGGGATTCGGTTTTAAATGATATTTCCAACTATAATTCAATTAATAAAAACATTACTTTATGTTTTAAGTTCTTTTAGGAGGCAAAATGCGTTACTGCAATTTTTTTATCATTTTGTTAATCATGAACATAGACAAATAATTCTTAAAAACTATTTTCCAGAATTTTCTTTGAGGTGGTTTTCTTAGCTATACGTAGTCTCCCCAAATGTTTTATACCGCTTAATAGCCACACACTTTTTATGTTCACAAGTATGAATCCGTCTAAACTCACTTGTTTTTGTCCTAGGTCTGACGATAAACTACATCCGGCAGCAATACCTCTGATCGAGAGGTTTTGAGATGCGTGGGACCTCTTTTTAATTGCTGTTGATCCCAGGTTCACCTCGACCCGGAGTGGTAGCACCTGTTACGCTACTAGCTATGGGCAAACAGTGAATCTTGAAAGTGGGGTGAAAGCCCTATGAAAGTGTAAAAAGTTTTTTATATATATATATATATATATATATATATATATATATATATATATATATATATATATATATATATTATAGTTTTATATTAAAAATACCAGCAATATGTTTTTTTAAAAACATATTACCAGCAATACATTCGAATCTCGACAAAAACTCTCTTTACAAAATTATGTCAATGAAACCTGATCTATAAATTGATTCTTTTACAAAGAATACATTTATTATTCGTACGAATCTATCCTAAAAATGTTGTCGGCATTAAATAACCCATTGAGGTTGATATGCCGTAAAACAAAATAAACCAAACCAATCTAAACCAAAGAATACATATTCTATTCATCCGAATCTATCCTAAAAATGTTGTCGGCATTAAATAACCCATTGAGGTTGATATGCCCTAAAACAAAATAAACCAAATGCCATTTATTTTTAACACCGCACTTTCAGCTAAACTTTAACATCGTGGGACAGTGGGCAGGGGCGAACAACGGGATTAACCAGACAGAAGAAATGGGGTCGGATAGTCGCGTTATATTAATGACAGTAAGTGTCGAATATGGATTTGAGAAGATAAAAATTGTCGAAATACGAAGACACACAGTAAGGATAAAAAAAAACTTATAGCACTAACACTTTACAAAAATACATCAATGTAACCTGATCTACAAACTGATTTTTTTCAAAGAATACATATTCTATTCATAACGAACCTATCCTAATAATCTTGTCGGCATTACATAACCCATTGATGTGTTGATATGCCGTGAAACAAAATAAACCTGTTGTACCATCCATTTACTGAAGCTTATTAATTATGTTTCGCGTTACTTTCCTCCGTCCATCTTTCCTTCAGTCTGTCCTGTGAGTATCAGGTTTACCGAGCCTTCCTTTCTCATTACGTGACCCAGAAATTTCAATTGCTTCTTCCTGATGTTAAGTATAAGTTTCCTTTTTGTTTCCATTTTTTTCCAAAGCCTCATGTTCGGTCCATGTTATCTTCAGCATCTTCAAGGCTCTTCTTCATCTTTGAGGAGATTTTCCAGCATTTGATGACATACAGGAGGACAGATATCACGTAACAGATAACAATCTCTCAAAATTCGGTCCTTTTTCCATTGGCCTAAGCGTTACAGCCATCAAAATGGACTCTTCTGTCTGACTAGAAACCTATTTACGTTCTTACACTTAGGTAGATGTTTATTTGTTTTGTTTTTTTCTAGGAAATGTTCCTGTGCCCAGGGCTCCTGGGTATGACGATAAACTACATCCGGCAGCAAGGCCTCTTTTCGGGAGAGTTTGAGGAGCGTAGAATCACCTTTTAATTGCTGTTGTTCTCAGGTCCACCCTGACCCGGCGTCGTAGTACTTGTTAAAGGTCCCTGCTATGGCAAAATAGTTAAATTTCTAAACTGGGTTTTAAAAAACCTATGAAAGTATAAAAATAGATTTTCATAGTAAAAATTCCAGTAATATATTTTTGCAAAAAAAAAAAAAACTATTGCCAGTAATACATTTGACTCTTGCCAAAAACCCTCTTTGCAAAATTACGTCCATAAAATCTGATCTAAAAATAGATTCTTTTTGCAAAGAATACATATTCTATTCATACGAACCTATCCTAAAAAATCTTGTCGGCATTAAATAAGCCATTGACGTTGATATGCCGTAAAACAAAATAAACCAAATGTCATTTGTTTGAACATCGCACTTTTCAGCTACAATTTAACATTACGGGACAGTGGTCAGGGGGTGAACGACTGGGTTGACCACACAGAAGAAACGGGGTTGGACAGTCGCGTTATATGGATGACAGTAAGTGTCGAATATGGATTTTAGAAGATAAAAATTGTCGAAGCACGAAGACACACAATAAGGAAAAAGAAAGCTTACATTACTAAACGTAAACCCTTTTTTTTTTTTTTTTTTTACAATGATGTTCACCCTATACAAGACTTGAGTGCCACTCGAGTTAGAGCATTACAGAGTAAGAACTAGACATTAAGTGATTACCTGTAGAAGATAACGGTTAACCCTAGACTTGAACAGGGTACGATTGTAGTGATCGGTAAAGCAACATCTTAGGAGTCGATCCCACAAGGCAGTGGCTCGTGGGAAGAAACTGCTTGGGTGGAACTTACATCTCACCAAAGTTGTTTTGTACACTAACACACAAAATGTACCACTCACAAAGGGCAGCAGTAACATTTCGTACTACATTCGCGCAGTATTCGTATTAACGTCGAATAGAGAATTATACTGAATGAATATTATCTCGAACACACAGGACATTATCTTGGTCAGACTCGCGCCCAGTAGTGTCTCTTCTGATTTCTTGTCATATCTCTGCGCCACACGTACGCGGTCAGTCAATAATTACTATTGTATTGACCATCCTAATATTCGTTTTACCCCCAACCGCTAAGATTTCATCAAGCTGACCAGTAGAGGCCATATCGATTAATGGTCAATTCACTCTCCGCAACAATGACTGGACTTGTTTTCTTCTTCTTTCCTTCTGTTTCCCTTTGAAAAGAGACAGCAATATAGCAATACATACGGACACACACACACACACACACACACACACACACATATATATATATATATTCACGTCCATCTGTTCACGTCCTCTCTCTCTCTCTCTATATATATATATATATATATATATATATATATATATATATATATATATATATATATATATATATATATATTCATTTCATTTATCTATTTATCTAATTCTGTTCATATATGTCCCATTCTGTTCATATCTATATCTATCTATCTATCTATCTATCTATCTATCTATCTATATATATATATATATATATATATATATATATATATGTTATTTGCTCTGGATTCACATTGATGTTTTCGGATTACATCTCTATTTTCGTTGTTCTCTTATTACCGAGAAGTAAAAACAAGAACAAAATCTATTTCCATACCTGAGGATGTCTGTAGGAACAGACGAAAGCTTGTAAAAAATTAAAAAGACCTAATGCAACTGGAATTTGTAAACAGGGATCATATCATTTATATACAGGTTCCGGGTTGGTGTATCTTATTTATATTGTTTGCGATGATGTATTCTCGCCATTTAAATCATTAACCTCTATATTTGTTTTTTGTATGAATGATTCATGAATTTATATATATATATATATATATTAGTCTGTTCATATGTATCAATCTATATACAGCAGGGTGATTGAAAAACAACTCCATATTTTACGTATGACTTGTCAGTCATGGCTTAACATCGTGTGACTTTTTTCTTTGGGGTTGGTTAATGGAGAATGTCTACTCTGCCAAACCAAGATTTTGAAAGAACTTGAAGGGGCGAATACAATGTCTTCCATATCACAAGAATTCCTGGTGAGATTACTTGACGCAATTCATGGGCGGCTCAAGAAGCTGGGAGCGAAATCTGGAGCCCATATCGAATTTTAAATAAAACCTCATTTAAACGCTTTCCTCTTGTAAAAATTATATTTAATAAATAAATTATAAGTATTTTAAAATGACGTGTTACTTTTCAATCGTCCTCTATATATGTCTATCTATCTATTCGAGTTTATATATTAATTTTTTGGTTTTACTACTAATTATTTTAGCCTTCCGTTACGAACTTAAAAATTTTAAATTCAGAGGTATCTTTTTCTTAGGGAGATGCTTTTTATCTTTTTTTCTTTTTTTGCTTTTTTCGATGTAAATTATTCATTATATCATATCCAAGTTTTTCACAAAAGATTCGAGCTTATTACTGTTGAAACTTGACTAATGCATGGAATAATAATACAACACAAAATGTACTTAGAACAAAATGTATTGAAACAAGAAAGTGTACAAAATATTTACATATAGTCTTTTGTATATTCTTGGGAAGACCGTTCCTGGAGAATGTGTTGACTTAGTCGCAATCGGGCAGAGTCTCTGGATTGAATCTCTTGATTCCTCCCCTCGTCTTCCCGGTACCCACCATATTTATGTGGTCGGTACTCCACTATGCAAAGTAGGTGGATTCTTACCACAACAATTACATAATATTTCAAGCTCAGTTTACGTTTATAGTTCGTAACTATTCAATGAGATGAAGTAACATAAACTATAGATTACATTATTGTTACATAATTATAGTGAAATCATTAAGGTTTTTTTGTCAAAAGCATTTTATTTTGGGTCGTATATTAATTTAAAATATTCCTTTTTACAGATTTTATTTTTTATCATTCTAAACTTCAGAATTTTGCTATTACCCATCAAAATGACTGGAAGAAAGTGATCTAAAAACAACAACGGAAAAGAGAGGTAACAAAGTGTAAACAAAATAGTTTCAGTTTGTTCATCTTAGAAAATTTAACATTGCAGCCAAAATATTCTAAAATGCTGTCAATAACAAAGGCGAAAATGAAAAATACATAACAACAAATCGAATATAGCATCAAAATTTATATTATTTTTATTTATTTGTTACGTAACTAAATACATAATTGTCGATAATGTTTCCGTAAAACTTGGTATGTCCTATAATAAATTCTTAATAAATATTATTATTGTTATTATTTTATTTAAGTGTGGCATAGTCCTATATTTACAATTGCTTATGGCTAACCATAAAAAGAAATGTTGATCAAAACTGCCTAAAACCTTTAAGCGATTTATTACCGCCAAATCATCAAATGTTGAGTACGTCTGTCCTCTTCCGAACTCATCATATAATTAATTTATTAAACTTTAAGGCGGATGTGCATATATGTTTAAGTATGCCTTTATTACATTATTAGTTATTATTGTTAATCTCTTATTGTGCCTAATAAGATCTACGGTAGGAACGAATCTTCTATCCGTCACATAACTTTTATTACAGTCTATATTGTTATAATTGTTCAATTTTATTATTAGTTATTGTTGGTCACGATAAACTACATCCGCGCCCTGGGTAAGACAATAAACAACATCCGCGTCCTGTGTATGACGATAAACTACATCCGATGGCAAGACCTCGGATCAGGAAGTTTTGAGGAGCGTGGAACCACCTCTTAATTGCTGGTGTTGCCAGGACCCGGGGTGGTAGCACCTGTTAGGGGCTTCCAGATATGGGCAAATAGTTCACCCCCAAAATGGGCTCAAAACACTGTAAATATTTAAAAATTGGTTTTAATACCAGCAATACATTTGTGGTAAAAAAAATTACCAGCAATACTTTTTGAAAAGAATATTACCAGCAATAAAAATCTTGTTGGCATTAAATAACTCGGTGAGGTTGATATGCCGTAAAACAAACCAAACCAAACCAATATATACGGAGATAGATAGATAGATAGATAGATAGATAGATAGATAGACAAAAATATTATCAGCAATAAAAAATCTTGTCGGCATTAAATAACCCATTAAGGTTGATATGCTGTAAAACAAAACAAAACAAACCAATATATACTGAGATAGATAGATAGATAGATAGATAGATAGATAGATAGATAGATAGATAGATAAAAATATTATCAGCAATAAAAATCTTGTCGGTATTAAATAACCCATTGAGGTTGATATGCCGTAAAACAAAACAAAACAAACCAATATATACTGAGATAGATAGATAGATAGATAGATAGATAGATAGATAGATAGATAGATAGATAGATAAAAATATTATCAGCAATAAAAATCTTGTCGGCATTAAATAACTCGGTGAGGTTGATGCCGTAAAAACAAAACAAACCAAACCAATATATACTGAGATAGATAGATAGATAGATAGATAGATAGATAGATAAAAAATTATTATCAAAAAAAAATCTTGTCGGCTTTAAATAACCCATTGAGGTTGATATGACGTAAAAACAAAACAAACCAAACCAATATATACTGAGATAGATAGATAGATAGATAGATAGATAGATAGATAGATAGATAGATAGATAGATAGATAAAAAATATTATCAGCAATAAAAATCTTGTCGGTTTTAAATAACCCATTGAGGTTGATATGACGTAAAACAAAACAAACCAAACCAATATATACTGAGATAGATAGATAGATAGATAGATAGATAGATAGATAGATAGATAGATAGATAGATAGATAAAAATATTATCAGCAATAAAAATCTTGTCGGCATTAAATAACTCGGTGAGGTTGATGCCGTAAAACAAAACAAACCAAACCAATTGTTGGTCATCTCTTATTCTGCCTAATAAGATCTACAGTAAAATGAATCTTTTATCCATTACATAACTTTCATTAGAGTATATTGTTATAAATGTTCTATTTTATTATTAGTTAGTTTTGTTAATCTCCTGAGCTTAGATCTCTAAAGATAACAAATTTTTTGTACGTCTCAAAATTTATATTACAATATATTGTCATCATTATTCATTGTTTTAATATCGTATTTTATCTGATTTATAGATTATATTTTACAAGAGGTAAAAAAAACGTAATATTCTGGCGTCTACTCTGGATAAATATTTAAGGGAATATTGTCTATAGACTTGTGGCTACAAGTCTACAGTGGTCATTGTTGAATGATTGCCAAATTATTGACAAGTGTGGAGGAAACTGTATGGTGCTGCGAAATGCTTTTTGCTTATCTTATCTCTTCGAACCATATCTTGTCTTTTCGAAACACGCTTCGTTGAGGCCCAGATTTGGGAGATGTTTCATAAAGAAATATTAAATGATTCCATATGCTTATGTCAGACAGAGAGACGTCAGATTAAATCTTTGAAAAAAAAAAATAAAATAAAGCCGTGCATAGATTGTTCGAGTACAAAAGGGAGTCTCGCTACCCAATCCCCACTTTGCAGTCTTTGACGGAGTTCAAAATCCTTGACACGCTCTTGGGCTTTGGAAGCCATGATCTTCCACACTGCAACGCCTTTCCCACAGACGAAACGTTGCGAGTCTGTCGTTGCTCTATTGTTGTGTTCCCTGGCGAATGTTAAGACGATCTTTATACGTTCGCTCAGCCAGTTTAGACCTTTACAGCACGGTCACAGTATCTTGTTCCCACGGAGCCAAATCACCCATATCTGCCACGTATTTCAAATTCAAAAAGAAAGTCCCATTCAGCTATTTGCAAAGAGCTGCTGCTTTGTAAAATAGGCTCCCGTGCGGATGCTTCCCATGACTATAATACATTAAGGATCAATGTTTATCTATTCCCCTTATTCTTATTCCTCCCACCTCCTATTTCGTTGACCGACAAAGGAAAAAAATAAGGTACAGAGCTTAACAGCCAAGGAAATAATGAGGTACCGGGTTTGACAGCAAAGGAAACAATGGAATATTGGGTTTAACAGCTAAAGAAATAATGAGGTATCGTGTTTAACATCTAAGGAAATAATAAAGTACCATGTTTGACAGCTAAGGGTTTGACAGAAAAGAAAATAATGAGCTATCGGGTTTGACAGCTGAGGAAATAATGAGCTACCAAGATTGATAGCGAAAGAAATAATGAGGTAGCGGGTTTGACAGCTAAGGAAATAATGAGTTAGCGGGTTTGACAGCTAAGGAAATAATGAGGTAGCGGGTTTGACATCTAAGGAAATAATGGGGCCACCGGGTTTGACAGCTGAGGAAATAATGAGCTACCAGGATTGAGAGCGAAAGAAATAATGAGGTATCGGGTTTGACAGCTAAGGAAATAAGTTATCATCATTAACAGCTAAGGAAATAATGAGGTACCGGGTTTGACAGCTAAGGAAATAAGTTACCATGCTTGACACCTAAGGAAATAATGAGGTATCGAGTTTGACACCTAAGGAAATAATGAGGTACCGGGTTTGATACCTAAGGAAATAATGGGGCACCGAGTTTGACAGCTGAGGAAATAATGAGGTACCGGATTTGACAGCTAAGGAAATAATGAGGTTTCGGGTTTGACAGCAAAATAAATAAGTTACCATGTTTGACAGCTAAGGAAATAATGAGGTACCGAGATTGACAACTAAGAAAATATGAAAGTACGGCCTTGAGAACTATGGAAATAATCACAACGTAACCTCACTTGGATCAAACAATGATATTGTTTCGGCATTACACCCATTCGTATATATAACTCGCGTTGATCAAATACACACTCTCTGTCTAATGAAATCTATCTCTCCCGCCTGCTGGGATTATGGTTTTTTTTTTATTCATTTCTAAACTGTTGATGAATGTAACGGGGGATCCCTTTGACATAATCAACCAAACCGTGTGGTCTGGTTTGAATAAATTTATTTTTGTCTTTTTTTTTTTTTTTTTTTTTTTTTTTTTTGTCATCATTTTCACCCCAAGCAAGGAGACATCTCAAGGGGTTACCGGCAGTGAAAGGAACGAGAGGAAAAGGACAATAAAAACATTGTGTTTATGAATACAAAAGACGTCGGTTGTCGTTGAGTATAAATCTTTGAAAATTGTAGGATGTACGCAAGTAAGAAATCGAAAATAGTCGAAAATAAAAACCGTTCAGAATATTGCATACGATAGCATCTAGCTAGTTCAAAATTAAAACCGGGAGACCTAATTGCCAATCTACCAGCATCCTTCAATTCACGTCGTCGAGACACGAATCAGAAAAGTGCATCAGGACCATTGCCATGAAAGTATCTGTTAATAAGACAAAGGGAAGTCATGTCACGTTGATGAGGAAGGGATTGAAGTCGATATGTCAGGTCAAGATCGATGGCATTGCAGACCCTTCTTTTAATTTTGCTAAGAATCTTGAGAGCAGCAGATGGTACCAATACTCAATGCGCAGACCAATTTCGGATTTATAAATGAGGAATACACATGAAAAAAAGAACAGTGTGAACCAAAATTTTATCCAAGCAGTAGACGAAGCAATTTCATATAATTTCCCACTTCAAGTCTGTTGCAAATGTGATCACAAGTAAACGCAGAGAGTCGAGAATTTCGATATATATATATAAGAGAAGCTCCAGAGAAGATATGGGTAAGAAGGATTTTGACAAGAAAAAAAATGTCTGCTACGACACAGTTCACTAATATTATTATTATGCGATCTTACCCATAATAATAACAATGGACTATTCCATACTTAAAAAATACTGCGCCTCAGGAGTAGGCAGGGAGTCTGTCGTTCACTTCTGAACCGACAGTTCGGTTGAACTTTCTGCCTTCGGGCGGAGAGGAACCCGAGCAGGGCTACGCCGAGGGGTGGAGTCCCGTTCGGGAAGGTAAACTGGCCCTGAACCCGTTTATACGGGTTCAAATTGGGCTATTTTTTGAGGGCCGAGCCTACGGGCTCGGAAAACCCACAATAAATAAGGACCTTGTGTCACATGATGCCCGAGTGGTGGGGGACGACTGAATATAGTCAGTCGTTCAAGTCGATCTGAACCGACCAGTTCGGTTGAACTTTCTGCCTTCGGGCGGAGAGGAACCCGAGCAGGGCTACGCCGAGGGGTGGAGTCCCGTTCGGGAAGGTAAACTGACCCTGAACCCGTTTATACGGGTTCAATGGGCATATTTTTGAGGGCCGAGCCCACGGGCTCGGAGAACCCACAATAAAAACCGACCTTGTGTCATATGATGCCCGAGGGTGGGGTGACTGAATATCGTCAGTCGTTCAAGTCGATCTTAGTCGACCAGCTGTTCGGTTGAACTCTCTGCCTTCGAGCGGGAGGAGACCGAAATAGGCTACGGTCGAAGGGCATTGATTCTCTTTCGGGATTGTTTATACTCGACCTTGAACTTCTCCGTATATATTCCGGGTTCAATATATCTGTTTTATTCCAGCCCTGTGTTCGAGTTCTCCTTTAAACCGGTTGTGCTTGATGACACCCCGTGGTACAAGGACTGAATATCAATAGTAGTTAAAGTCGAATCGAGAGTCGAGTCAGAGGCAGTCCGAAACAGAGTCGCATTCAGACAATTACTGCAAGACATTGGAATAGTGATACTGGTCGAGACTACATTGTTCTCTCTACTAAACCTGATTGTTCGTACCAACACTTTCTACTTCTCTGTATATATTCCTGTTTGTAATATATCTGTGTTATTCCATACCTGTGTTCGAGTTCTTCTTTATTGGTTCTACCTTTGGACTATCACCGTGGTACAAGGAACCGGACCATAACAATTATTTATATTATTCGGTCTTTTATTTTCATCTTCATTGCCATACTGACAACGTTTCGGCCGTTGTACGCTCCGGGCTTCTTCACGTGATTGGAATTTCGATCCGAACCCATTATTTCGTCCATCGGGGTAGACTGTTCTAGTTCCACATGCCATGCCACTTCCGGATGTCTCAGTTATTTCCATTTCCCTTTTTCTTTTCTTTATTTTTTTTTTTTTCTTCTTTAAAAGATCCAGCTCGAAACCGATCACCTTCTGTGAACGAAGCGTTTTGAATATAAAATGATGAAGATAAAAGAGAGCATAAGTAAATCGAAAATAATAATACCTCATCTCAGAGATCCAATCACCTGAGGAAGGCCAGAGCGTATAACGGCCGAAACGTTGAGAATATGACAATTAAGATGAGGGTAACAGTCCGAATAATGTTTGTAATAATAAATCATCTCAGGATCCAAATGAAGATGAAGATAAAACGTTGAGAATATGACAATTAAGATGAGGGTAACAGTCCGAAAATCTAAATAATGCAAGTAATAATAATACCTCATCTCAGAGATCCAATCACCTGAGGAAGGCCAGAGCGTATAACGGCCGAAACGTTGAGAATATGACAATTAAGATGAGGGTAACAGTCCGAATAATGTAAATAATGCAAGTAATAATAATACCTCATCTCAGAGATCCAATCATCTGAGGAAGGCCAGAGTGTATAACGGCCGAAACGTTGAGAATATAACAATTAAGATGAGGGTAACAGTCCGAATAATGTAAATAATGCAAGTAATAATAATACCTCATCTCAGAGATCCTATCACCTGAGGAAAGCCAGAGCGTATAACGGCCGAAACGTTGAGAATATGACAATTAAGATGAGGTTAACAGTCCGATTAATGTAAATAATGCAAGTAATAATAATACCTCATCTCAGAGATCCAATCACCTGAGGAAGGCCAGAGCGTATAACGGCCGAAACGTTGAGAATATGACAATTAAGATGAGGGTAACAGTCCGAATAATGTAAATAATCCAAGTAATAATAATACCTCATCTCAGAGATCCAATCACCTGAGGAAGGCCAGAGCGTATAACGGCCGAAACGTTGAGAATATGGCATTGAAGATGAAGGTAACAGTCTGAATAATGTAAATAATGCAAGTAATCATAATACCTCATCTCAGAGATATATACACATACACTTCGCTAGATTGGCAGTTCGGTCTCGCTGTTTTAATGTTGAATTAGGTAGATGCAGTCGTATGATATATTCTCGTCGTTTTTTTTTTCTTTCGTAGCCGTAGTCATAGCAATTGGCTCTATATAATCATTTCACTTGATGACAGTTGGCTCTTTTGGTGTTTAGCATCAGCCGTGCCGCAAGCAGTCGGGAGATGGTTTCTATGGTGAGCAAATGAATGCAGCGAAAACATTAAAATATTCGTCATTCAATTGTCACAATAAACCAATCGATAGAAAGATTTCTTTTTTTTTAAATTGTTAATCCAAGTGTAAAGCAAATAAGACATTAGCCAACCTTACCTACCTTTACTGAACGCATAGTAAGCAAATACGCGCAGGAACGTTGAACTTGGAATGAAAAAGAGAAAAAAAAAAGGAAGGAAATAAAAGAAGATATTTGAGTTGTTGCTCTGAAAAACAAGAAAGAATTCTCCATTCACTTCATTTTGCCCTTTAAATATTTTTTCGCTGACAATTACTTCTCGCCTTGACATTTTAAAACCATTATTTGTTCTATTTTTTTTTTCTAATTGATTTTCCACTTTCTTCAAACAAGAAACACGGGAAAAGATACACAAAGAAATAGAGCGACAGTTATTCAACACTTTAGAAAAATTAAATTCGTATTTATATCGGAAAACTAATTTGTTGGCAATAACAAATTTTCTCCTGATTAAAACCCGCGCCATTTTAGTGATGTGTATCAATCAATATTTTTAGCACTGTCATTTTCTTTCGGTCTAGATTTTGTAAATAATCTATCTATCTATCTATCTATCTATCTATCTATTGGAGGTTCGTTTAGAAACCAAGTTAATGGCCTTTTAAGCTTCCTTCAAAGTGAATTGCAGTAAAATTTTGAATATGTAAGAATGAAATATTACGGGCGGGTGAGCACTAGGATTCTAGAAATACCAAAGTGAGACATGACCCAAAATCCGTTGGGAAACCCTGCTTTATATTGAAGATAAAATCCAAAGGTCTGTAATATTATCTGGTATCTCGATTTCAGTGGTATACTACCCGAGGCCAGGGCACCTCGAGGTGGTGTAATGGTTAGCAAGCTGGTCTTGCTAAAACTGTTACAACTGAATAGTGAGTTCGATCCTCACTGGGTGCCCCATACTTTCGGCCATGTGCCGCATCTAAGCCTCGCTTAAAAATTTGGGCACCTCGGCGTGGTGTAATGGTTAGCAAGCTTGTCTTGCTATATCAGTTACTACTGAAAAGTGAGTTCGATCCCCACTGGATGCCCCATACTTTCGGCCTTGTGCCACATCTAAGCTACGCTTGGAAAATCTCTACTCCCCGAAGCCAGGGCACCTCGAGGCGGTGTAATGGTTAGCAAGCTTGTCTCGTTAGAACAATTACGAATAAGTAGTGAGTTCGATCCTCACTGGGTGCCCCTTTCTTTCGGCCTTGTGCCACATCCAAGCTACACTTGGAAAATCATTATACTCACCGAGGCTACGTGGCTTCCTTCTGTTTTTTTTGTTTTTTTTTTGTATAAATATTTTCATGGCAATGAAAATATTTATAGAAAAAAAGGGACAACATGCTTAAAAATTACTGTAGCTGTAGAAGGTTGTCACAAATATATCCGACTAAAACTTGTGTTTGGTGAACCTATTTGTCTCGTTAGGTAATACTGGGTTACAGTATAGTAATAACACTCGTAGATTGACCTGTCATGAGTACTAACAGTACACCTAGTTCATTCAAGAGGCAAAGATCCAACACAATTTCTTTAACTAAGGCATTGTATAGTTTATGAATGATTTATTGAGCTGGTTAATGTGGTGTGCTTGCGTGAAGATGTTGGCTTCTACTGCGGGTCGGCAAAGATCGAAGATAATTTGACGCAATCAATCATAATTCATTTGATGTCGTGCACATTCCAATAACGTCGCTTGTCATGTCAAACGAACAGGGAGATGATACATGAGATATCTTTTTCATAAATAGATAGAACCCTCTCTCTCACACACACACTCTCTCTCTCTCACTCACTCAGAGAAACACACTCGCCTCTTAAAAGATAAGCCAATACAATAACTGTGTCATCTTTTACGTTTCCAGCTTTTAGTCCTATTTACCACTCGGCGTCTTGACGCCGTTCATCGGTCGGCTGAGTCAAATCTGACATCCCTGAAAGAATGTCTTATTTGGTTGTTTGGGGGTGGGGATCGAGAACATTGACTGGAAAGTTGTTAAAACAATAATAAGTACAGAATGCGTTCGCATGGATCGAAAGCCAGCAGTTTCGGTGTGTGATATTGAAGTGATGGGGTGCTCGTTGTTAGTGATGATAACGTTTCAGACCGGAAAGACATGCCTGACCACAGGGTCATCATTTGTCAAACGGGTTTCAGGCAACACGCTCCTTTGTTTTGTTTTTTTTTGTTTTTTTTATTATTTTATTTGTCATGTTTCTTCAGTAAAAAGAGTTTGCTTTCAGAAATTATTGATAGAGGTGGATTACACACACAGACACATACATATATATATCAAAATATATATATATATATATAATTATTTATATATATATATATATATATATATATAAAAAATTTATATATATATATATATATATATATATATATATATATATATATATATATATATATATATATATGTAAGCAAATATATGGATCCGACAGTATGAAGAAAAATAATTTGAGTATTTTGAATGAAAAACGAAAAGAATTTTAGGAATACGTTTTCACAACATCGGCCACGTGACGACGACGTGATCATATTTAAACGGAACGCTGATCTTATAAAATATTTTACTTATCTGTTTGGATTGGTATTGCTTTTATGTCCATCGTCTTTTTCATGTTGAATTGTATATGGTCTATGTTAATTATGTTTTATGAATATGTCCTGAAGATGGTCTATTAGACCGAAACGTCCGACGTTGACATTAAACATTAAAACAGCATAATCGCATATTAGGATTTTTTTTTCAGTATATTTTTCTTCATATATATATATATATATATATATATATAGTCAAACCTAGTGAGCCAGAAAAATCTACCCAGGTTTCACGTACGCGGATCGTCAGGGAAAGCTGGCTAAAGAGGTGTTGTGTTTTTTCTTGGCTTTTTTTTAATCTATTATCTTGTTATCCCCACCCCTTTTAGTTGTTTGATTAAATCGTTAACAACCCCCCGCCCCGCCCGGTGTTGTGTTTTTTTTCCTATTTTTTTTCTTCTTCTTTTTTCTTTGGTCACGTGGTATAGTTTTTGATTGTCGCCTGTAAATATGCCGTTTCTCTTTTACCTCTTTAGCCAGCTTTCCCTGACGATCCGCTTAGGCGAAACCTACGGTAAGTTTGTCTAGCTCACTAGGTTTTACTAGGTCTGCTCTACGGTTGTATTGAGCTCTTTTTAGTTAGTTGTTTACTTGTGTCGGGGTTTTTTCCTTGGGCTTCAGACCTGCATCTGTGCAATTTTTTTTCGACAGACTTTCATGTTTGTAGCTTTCTCTTTTTTTAAAACCTTTTTTTCCTTCGAGATTGATTTGATTATTAGCAAATCAAAAATTCGAAGGTTTTTCGAGACAGTATAGTTACCTATATATATATATATATATATATATATATATATATATATATATATATATATATATATATATATATGTCAATGTTTTATACACACATATATATATATATGTATGTATAAAACATTGATATATATATATATATCTATGTTTTAAATATATATATATATATATATATATATATATATATATATATATATATATATATATATATATATATATATATATATATATATATAAAGAAATATAGTCTTAAGGTGTGCTATATTTATGGGATAAAGTGCTCAATATCAGAGATAGAGCGTGTGTAAATATAAAAGTGAACATTGAAGTCAAAACTCAGAGGCGACAGGCTAGGCGCAATCACCAGGACGATTGCGTCTAGTGTGTTCACTTTCATATATATATATGTATGTATATATATATGAGAAAGTGAACATACTGGGTTCTATAGCCTTGAATGGCAACTGGTCTAGGAGAAGGACAACTCTGAATTCAAAACCTGCGGAGGGTCGTTTGGGGACCTTGTGGCACGTAGTGCACCAGGTCTCTGCATTCGGCCCTTCAGAAAAGTGGGATGGTTCTGTACGAAACCTTCGCTACTATAATCAATTCTCATGTGTTCCTGTCAGGCTGTTGGTTTCCCTAGGAACTGAGCTGCTTGACTCTCATACGTCAAATACGGCGTGAGAGTTCACTATATATATATATATATATATATATATATATATATATATATATATATATATATATATATATATATATATATATATATATAACTTGTTTTGTTAAATATTATGGACAAACTCTTTTCAAATTTTCCGAATAAATTGTTTTGTGTTCGGGCTAATATTGCCAAAATTTATATTAGCATTTATCTCATATTATTATTTTTTTTCTTTTTTTGATTCCTGATGACTTTCGAATGTTGCTACATTCGTTTTCAAGGATTGCTGTGTGTGCAGTTACACAAATGGTTTTCAGTTCGAAAGTAATTTTACTGGGAATTCTTGCTGCCGAAATACACCTCATATATATATATATATATATATATATATATGTGTGTGTGTGTGTGTGTGTGTGTGTGTGTGTGTGAGAGAGGTGTATTTCGGCAGCAAGAGGGGGATGCTGGAAGACTCTATGTTTGTCAACAGGACTCTGTGCCACGCCAGACAAGCAGGAGAACCCAGTCATAGCTGTCAGACAATTTCTACGACCATATCACCACTTACATCTGGCCACCTAACTCCCCAAGCGGCACCCCCCTTGATTATTATGGGTGGGGCGCAGATTAGAGAGAGACCAACAAAACCCCTTGTAACACCAATGATGAATTGAAGGTAATGATTATTGCAGCATTCACCAACTTAAACAAGGAGACTGCACAGAAGAGTTGCAGGTGATTCCGAAGTCGTCTGTAGGCCTTGGTTAAAACCAATGGCGATTTTATTGAATAAATTTACTCTTTAGTCGTATTTCAAGATATCTTTGTGCAATTTTGATAAATATATCTGTTAAAATGCGATGTCAGTATTATTTTTGCTTTGCCTAATGTAGACGACAATTCATCCATCGCACTCTGTATATATATATATATATATATATATATATATATATATATATATATATATATATATATATATGGTTTGGTTTGTTTTGGTTTATTTTGTTTTACGGCATATCAACCTCAATGGGTTATTTAATGCCGACAAAATTTTTTATTGTTGGTAATGTTTTGTTTTGTCAAAAATCTGTTTCTGGTAATATTTTTTTCCTTCAAAATTTTCAAATAAGTATTGCTGGTAATAGTTAGCTATTTGTTCATAACTGGGACCCTAATAGGTGCTACCACCCCGGATCAGGGTAGAC